TTTTTTTTTTTTTCTAATTTTTTTTTTTAACATTTATTTATTACTGAGAGACAGAGAGAGAGCATGAGCAGGGGAGGGGCCGAGAGACAGGGAGTCACAGAATCGGAAGCAGGCACCAGGCTCTGAACTGTCAGCACAGAGCCCGACGCGGGGCTCGAACTCACAAACCGTGAGATCATGAGCTGAGCCAAAGTTGGACGCTTAACCGAGGGAGCCACCCAGGTGCCCCTGGATAATGTGTTTACTGCACGTTTGCTGAGAATGGTCTCTGCCTGAGGGGTTCTGGAGCTCAAACGACTGGCTGGGACTGGTTGGCGGGGCTAATTTCTAGGGGGCTGGATGGTCCTAGTAACAACCCATCCCAGGGGGCACTTGCTAACTGTCTTCTTCTGAGGGTCTCACCCTCCTGATGGCTCCGCAGAACAGAGCTTAAAGGAATTGTCCAAGTTCACCCACAGGAAAAGGAGACAGACTGGGAACCTGAACCCCAGCAGGCCGGTTCTAACGCCTCTCATTTTGGAAGACGCTACAGAATTAGCCAAACATCAAAGTGCACCTGGGGAAATCTGAGGGCCCACTTACCAGTATCAGTCTGATTTCTCTGCACACAAGGACCCTGTGAGCACCTTCGCTCCGGCCTCAGCGGATGACTGCGGGGGGTCCCCCACATCCGCTTGACGGAGACGGAGAAATCGGACGACTTCCAAAGGCTCCTGCCCAACACCGGGGTCCTCAACATCTTCAAACTGCTCCCCTCAGAGCCCCGTAAACACAGGGTGATCTTCCTACCAAAGCTCTCACTTTGGTCTGGACGATCGTGGAACGGGGTTAGCCTACCTCTTTTTGTAGAAACTCACCCAACCCCCTGATCCCAAAGGTTAAATTTCAACCCGCGCCTGCCCCTGCTTCTGGACGATGCTCAGTTTGGCATAGGGGTGGGTGCCCCTCGACAGACCTGTGGCCTTCACCGTGGCCGGCCCCTCGGTTCGCTTTGATCTGGTAAACAGCAGAGTGTGCCGGGGAGTCAGGAGCACACAGTGGAGAGCGCACTGCTCGTCCTGGCGAAGAGGGCAAGAGGCAAATAGGAGAGAGCAAAGGCCTTGTTCCTGGATGTTGACCCCTAGTTTGGAGCCGTGTCGTATGCATGTAGGGCCAGGCACAAAGCCGTGCCGTGTGTATGTGGAGGGAGTGGCAGGTTCCGGAGTGCAGGGACAGGAATTAGGCAAAGCACTGCCGAGGTGGAGGGGCAGGCGGGCAGGTGACCCCTCTCTGCCAGGAACAAAGAGACATGACCTGATACAAATTTGTTCTGCCTAAACTAACACGTCCCGGCTGGCCCAGAGCGCTCCCAGGTCACCGTGTCAGCATGGATCCTAATGCCCCCTTTTCATGCACATAGAATCCTGGACTCTTAGATCTGGAAAACCCCACAGAACAGGGGTTTGGAACCTTGGGTCCACGTGTGGGTTCCCAAGAACCCTGTTGGTCACGTGCACAGAATTTTGACCTGGTCTCTGGTGGCCCCTGCATCTGCCTGCCTTCCTTGCAACTCTGGGATACACGTGGTTTTCTTCCACAGAGGCATTTTGCAAGGGTACGTACCCTTGGGTAGCTTCATTCATTCATTCACTCATTCATTCATGGACTTCTGCCCCAGTTCCCTCCTCTGTAAGGTAGGGAAATAATAGCACTAACTCCGCTATGTTGCCCTCAGGGTTTAACGAATCCATCACTCACGCACTTAGGAGAGAGGTATTTCTGTTACCGATGCCCAGGTCAGCCTTCCAGGCGTTCTAGGAGTTGGCTGAGCCCTGAAGGAACGCGGGTTTCCCGGGCATCGGGGACCCTGTCAGCCAGCACTGCGTAGCCCTTTTGCTATGTAGCCCTTTTGCTCAGCCCTTTGCTCTGAAGGGCATGCCCTTGGCCGTGCTCAGCTACTCGGCCGTCCTCAGCCAGCCTATTTGAGGTAGAACGCCACACTGGCTGTCCCCGCGGTCCTGGGGTCTCCCTGTCCTTCCTGTAGCCACACGACAGAGCTCTGCTTTATCTAGAAAATACTGCCAACTGAGCCTGCCCCATGCAACCCTCCCAGCCGACTCAAACATCAGTTCAGCCACTATTACAGTAGAAACTGAAATGTCTGCCATCAAAAGAGATAGAGAAGCCATTTACATGCATGTTATGAAAAATGTTTCAAGTAGGTCAAAGGTGAAAAATGAATGTCTCTATCTTTTTGTGAACTGCGCTCTGATAGCAGTTTCTTGTGGCTCTTTCTGGAAATCTCCACGGCATAAAATCTTCTCTCTCTCTCTCACTATTTTTAATACTCGAGATAATCATATCCTATGTAAAGGGTATATATGTGTACGTATGTATGTATATAGATACAGATGTAGTCACTTGATAATTATCATAAGCTTTTACATCCATGCTTTTTGCTTGGTTTTTTTTTTTGAACTATAGAATACTCTGTGAAAAGATATACCATAATTCATCAAATCACTCCCTTTACAGATGGCCTATTTAAAAAAACTTTTTTTTTCTCAACGTTTTTATTTATTTTTGGGAGAGAGAGAGACAGAGCATGAACAGGGGAGGGGCAGAGAGAGAGGGAGACACAGAATCGGAAACAGGCTCCAGGCTCTGAGCCATCAGCCCAGAGCCTGACGCGGGGCTCGAACTCCCGGACCGCGAGATCGTGACCTGGCTGAAGTCGGACGCTTAACCGACTGCGCCACTCAGGCGCCCCAGATGGCCTATTTTTTTAATTTAACGTTTATTTATTTTGAGAGAGAGAGAGAGACAGACAGACAGAGACAGTGTGAGTTGGGGAGGGTCAGAGACAGAGGGAGACACAGAATCTGAAGCCGGCTGCAGGCTCCAGGCTCCGAGCCGTCAGCACCAGAGCCTGACACGGGGCTTGAACCCATGAACCGCGAGATCATGACCCAAGCCAAGGTTGGACACTTAACCGACTGAGCCACCCAGGCGCCCCTATTTTTTTTTTTTTTTTTTGGTCTTATAAATGACACTGCATGAACATCTTTGGGACTCCCACTTTTGACGACCGTGGGTCCGAGGACAAATGTATTAAAATAGTTGATACAGGGGCGCCTGGGTGGCGCAGTCGGTTAAGCGTCCGACTTCAGCCAGGTCACGATCTCGTGGTCCGTGAGTTCGAGCCCCGCGTCAGGCTCTGGGCTGATGGCTCGGAGCCTGGAGCCTGTTTCCGATTCTGTGTCTCCCTCTCTCTCTGCCCCTCCCCCGTTCATGCTCTGTCTCTCTCTGTCCCAAAAATAAATAAAAAGTTGAAAAAAAAAAATTTAAAATAGTTGATACAAGTGCCAACTTACTCTCTTGAGCGAGCGCACCATGTCCAATTGTCACCCACTTTGCTCGTATTTTGAGCCAAAGAACCTCATGTTTATCCAAACCAACGCCTTCTAATTCCTCAGTATCTCCTTTGCACATAAAACACCAATCAGTGGCCTTCATAGGATGTGTTGAAATTATCTGCCGGAACTGAACGTTTCTCATGGGGAGTCGCGATGGCTATTTTTCTGTCAATTTGGCCGAGCCACAGGGCCAAGATATTTGGGTGAACATTATCCTGACTGTTTCCGCGTAGATGTGTTTTTTCTTTTTAATGTTTATTTTTGGGAGACAGAGACAGAGCACGAATGGGGGCAGGGCAGAGAGAGAGGGAGACGCAGAATCTGAAGCAGTTTCCAGGCTCTGAGCTGTCAGCACAGAGCCCGACGCGGGGCTCGAACGGATGGACCGCGAGATCATGACCTGAGCCAAAGCTGGACGCTCAACTGACTGAGCCATCCAGGCGCCCTTCAGTGTAGACATTTTTTGGATGTGATTAACATTTAAGTCAGTGGACATGCTCCACTGTGGGCGGGCCTCATCCAATCAGTTGAAGGCCTGAATAGAACAAAGACTGACCTCCCCCGAGCAAGAGGGAATTCTGCCAGAGTCTCCCTTTGGGCTCTGCAGGTCTCCCCCAGGTCTCCGGCCTGCTGCTCCTCCCCCCCCATCAGATTTTGGATTTGGCTAAGCCTCAGTCACGTGAGCCAAGTCCAGACTGTCCTTCAAAGTGCAGGAAGAAAAGATAGGAATTTCTATCATTATTTCCTCTCTCACTGGTCATAACTTCTATTTCACATGTTTAATAGGGCACACAGTAATCGTACCTAACACACAGGAATGATTTATTCGTAAATACATATGTGTCGGAGGACCACGCCAAAAGCTTTTTATAGAGCAGACTGTGTGCTCAAAGTGTGGAGCTCGCTCTTGTGTGAGACGCCTCGAACTTCTTGGCATCACTCTCTCCAAAGAGGGCTTTATTCTTACGTGATAGAAATTCACATTCATTCCTAAATGCAACTGAATGCTCTCCAAAGTACTTTAAGATCTCCAAATGATACATACACTGTCCATGAAGAAATTCTGTTCTAGTTGGGAAAAAAAAAAAAAAAAAAAAAGGAAGGAAATAGGAAAAAATGCCGATTGGACAAAAATCTTGCAAATACATGCGAGTTTCCACGTGCATTTTGTCCACAGTAATCTCTTTTGTTCTCCGGGGATTTTTTTTTTTATGGTACAATTTTGGGCACACGCTTTTATTGATTTTATGGATTTGTAAACCTGTTTCCGTGACCTGAGCAGCCAAGGGGATGCTTTGTAGTGGAAATCTCTTGTTCACAAGGATGTTGAAACTCAGCAGTGCTATTGAGATATTCACCACCTGCCTGGCTTAATTACACCATCTCCTGAGTCAAAGGAAAATCAATGGATCAAAGGTGCCCGGGAGCCCAAGAGAAACACTTTCTCCTCTTTGTTGAAACATACTCAACCTTTCCTTCTGGAAAGTACAAATCAACAGCTTCCGGGAGAAAAGAAACAACCATTGGACAGACATCAATGTTGACACCACTGCTCACATGGGCTGGGGTGCCGCTTTTGGGTCTCGTGAGAGCCCTGGGACACTCGTGCTTGGGGCAGATGCTGTGCATGCGTGCCTGACACCTGGCCCCCTCCCTCTGATAACATCACCCGAGTCTTCCCGGGGACACTAGCCCTCCCCCACTGGCCATCCATGGGGCTCAGGTCAAGCTGACCCCATCCCTGATGTATCTCGGGTTTGGCCAACCAGAGGGAAGGTCATTTACAGGTAACCTGAACTGACCAATCAGTGTTAACTCCGGAAGTTTCGCTGCAATTATGGGGAAAGAGACTTAGACTGGTAAGGTGTGCACCGTGTGCAGTTGCTGGGAACTCTTCTTGAGACCTTGCTCAAGAACGGAGACAAAGTGAGCCCCAGGGCCGGAAGGCTGGAAAAGGAGAGAGGGACGGAGAGAGAGTGTGACAGAGTACATGACATTGCCTCAGCCAAGCAATTTCCACTCCCGTATCCTGAAGTGCACTTCCAAACTTGTCACTTATGGAAATCAAGGAGTTCCTCTGATTGTATTCAGCTAGTTTACATTCCCCCATAGCCCAAAGGGCGCTAACTTGTAGGCACTCAGGTCTCCATCCTACAGACAAGGAACCGAAGCTCAGAGCAGTGACGTGCGCATTGTCTAAGCTCTCCCTCGCTGGAAATTGGCAGAGTCAGGGCTCAGGTATGGGGTCTTGAGCTCACTGTCTCATTGAGCCTTGCCTCGTGGCTGTTTGCTTCCACAGGCCCAACGTAAAGTGTATAATCCGTGCTTGCTACACTGCAGGGAATGGCCAGTCATCTATTCCAAATACTTACCTGGTGCAAGGAGAGTTTGGGTTGGAATAAAAAGGGTACACATAAGTCTGTGCCCCAATTATCTTCTGCTGCCTGACAAAGGACTCCAAAACGTGGGGGCTGAAGACAACGTGCTTGGGCTCACACAACTGCCATCTGGGCAGGGCTCAGTAGAAAGTGCCTGTCTCTGCCCCAGGAGGCCACAGTTGAGAGGGCCCATCTGGGACTGGAGGACCCGCTTCCAAGGCGGTGCGCCCACAAGGCTGGTGAGGTGCAGCTGGCTGTCGGTTCCTCTCGATGTGGGCCTCTCTGAATCGGGAAAGCAGCATTTGCTCACCGAGAACAATGAGGAATGTCATTTAGGAGGGCATGCGGTCTCTTCAGTAAGTCAAATGCAGAGTTATCATGAGTGCCGGCAATTTGGTTCCAAGGTACACACCCAGGAGGAATGAAAACATACGTCCACGTAAATGCTTGTACACAAATGTGCACAGCAGCATTATTCATAATAACCAAAACATAGAAATGACCCAAATGTTCAGCAAAGGATGAGTGGATTAAGAAAAAAAAAACAAAACAGTATCACAAAATGCAATTAATCAGTCATCAAAAACGAAGTTACAGTAATCAAGGCAGTGTGGTGTTGGCTGAAGAATATACAAATCAGTCTGTGGGATGGAAGGGAGCCCAGAAATCGACCTCGGGGGACTGGGCGGTGACAAAAGAGCGAAGGCATCTTCTGAACCGACGGCACTGGGACAACCGTACATCCACGTGCAAAAAAATCAGTCGAGACACAGACCTTATGCCCTTCGTAAAAATGATCTCAAAATGGATCGCGGGTCGAAATGTAAAATGCAAAACTAAAAAGTCCTCAAAGATGACACAGGAGAAAATCTAGGCGACCCTGGGTGTGGTGATGCCTTTTCAGATACGGCACCGAAGGCGCGGTCCGGGAGAGAGATCACTAACACGTGAGCCTTCCTTGACACGAGACACTTGTGCCGTGTGAGAGACAATGTCAGAGGACGAGAAGACAAGCCGCAGACCGGGAGAAAATATCTGCCAGAGATACAAAGACGGTACACCCAGAGTGACCTCTGGGTGACCACGACGTGTCACTGGAGGCCTCGCGAACTGTCACAAATATCCCACTCTGATGGGGGATGCCGGTGACGGGGGGAGGCCGTGAGCGTGGACGCGGGAGGGCTGCACATGCTGTCTCTGTACTTTCCCGTTCCGCTCTGCTGTGAACCGAAAACTGCTCTAAAAAATAAGATTAAGTAACAACAACAACAAAAAGATGCGCAGGCCTAACACACGTTACAACGGGGATGGACGGCCCTTGAAAATGTGATATGAGTGAAAGACGCCAGTCACAAAAGGCCACAAGTTGTAGGATGCCCCTTATATGAAATATCCAGAACAGGCAAACGTATAGAGACGGAAAGCAGGTGAGGGGTTGCCAGGGCTGGGGGGTGCGGGAGTCATGGATAATGGGGAAGCCGTTTTGGGGAAGACAGAAAGGTTCTGGAACAAGTTAGTGGTGATGGTTGCACAACTTTGTGAAGGTGCTTAATAGCACTGAAGTGTGTATTTAGAACGGTTAAAATGGTAAATTTTATGTGATGTGTATTTAACTATAATAAAAAAAAGAGAGAGAGACGGAGAAAAAAAGCAGTCAAGCAGGCCTGGCAAAGTGTAGCTAGAGGAGCGGGTTATTACGTGATCCAGTAAAGGCACAGCACTCGGCC